GCTTGCTGACAAAGAAGAAATTGAATCTAGAGAAAGAATTTGTATTGCAGAGACTCGTGGATTTCTACAGGGCATGAATCCACTAATTCCCAGGTTTTGCGTAGCCTAAAGCAGTAGCTCTCCAGTGTACCCAAGGGTCTCTGGGGGTTCCCTGACCCTTTTAGGGGCTCCGTGAGGTCAAATTGTTTTCATAATACCAGGGTGTCATTTGTCTCTTTCTCTCATTCTCACAAGCATAAGGTAGCATTTCCAGAGACTACTTGATGTGTGATGGCATCATTGCTCTGACAGCTAATGGGATGTATGCTTGGGATTCTGTTTCTCCTTCTGTGTGTGTCTCTTTTTTTAAGAACAGGGCCTCACTGTGTTGCCCAAGTTGGTTTGCAGTGGCATAGTTGTAGCTCACTGTAACCTTGAACTCCTGGGTTCAAGAGATCCTCTGGCCTCAGCCTTCTGAGTAGCTAGTACTACAGAAGGACACCACCACAACTGGCTAATTTTTATTTTCTTTTATTTGTAGAGTCAGGGTCTGGTTATGTTGCCCAAGCTGGTCTTGAATTCTTGGACTTAAGTGATCCTCCCACCTTGACTTCTCAAAGTGCTGGGATTATAGGCATGAGCCACCGCACCTGGCCTCTGATTTTTTTTTAAGAATTTTTTTTTATTGTGATAAAATACACATAACATACAGTTTACCACTTTCAAGTGAAGAATTCGGTGGCTTTAAGAACATTCAGCATGTTCTGCAGCCAGTACCACTACCCATTTCCAGAACTTTTTGTATCATCCCAAACAGAGACTATACTTTTTAAACAATAACTTCCCAATTCCCCTCCCCACAGCCTTTGGCAACTACTAATTAACTTTCTGTCTGTATAGATTTGCCTGTTCTAGACATTTTATACTGATGGAATCATACAACATGTATTTGGTGTCTGGCTTATTTCACTTAGCATTTTGTTTTCGCAGTTCATCTGTGTGATAGCATGTGTCAGTATTTCATTTCTTTTTTAAATTGTGGTATATTTATAACAAATTACCATTTTAGCTTTTTTTTTTCTTTCTGAGATGGAGTCTCACTCTGTCGGCTGGCTGGAGTGCAGTGGCATGATCTCAGCTCGCTGCAACCTCTGCCTCCCAGTTTTTTAAGCAATTCTCCTGCCTCAGCCTCCCGAGTAGCCGGGACTACAGGCACGTGCCACCACACCCAGCTAATTTTTGTGTTTTTAGTAGAGATGGGGTTTTGCCACGTTGGCCAGAATGGTCTTGATCTCTTGACCTTGTGATCTGTCTGCCTTGGCTCTTTTTTTTTTTTTTTTTTTTTTAAGAGACAGGCTCTCACTATGTTGCCAAGGCTAGAGTGCAGTGGTGTAATCATAACTCCCTACAGCCTCTACCTCCTGGACTCAAGCAATCTAGGACCACAGGTACATGCCACTATGTCTGGCAGATTTTCTATTTTGTGTGGAGATGAGGTCTCACTATGTTGCCTAGGCTGGTCTCAAACTCTTGGCTTCAAGCAGTCTTCCTGTCGCAACCTCCCAAAGTTCTGGGATTACAGGCATGAACCATCATGCCTGGCCCATTTTTTTTTGAGACGAAGTCTTACTCTGTTACCGGGCTGGAGTGCAGTGGTGTGATCTTGGCTTACTGCAACCTCTGTCTCCCAGGTTCAAGTGATCCTTCTGCCTCAGCCTCCGGAGAAGCTGGGACTGCAAGCATCTGCCACCATGCCACGAACCACTACCTACTTCCAGAGCTTTTTTGTCATTCCAAACAAACTCTATATCCATTAGACAATGACTCCCTGTTTTCCTCACCGCTATCCCCTGGCAACTGTCATTCTACTTTCCATCTTTATGAAATTGACCACTCTGTACCTGTTATGAGTAAAATCATGTATTATTTGCCTATTTTGTGTCTGTCTTCTTTCACTTAGCATAATGTTGTCCAGATTCATTTATGTTGTAGCATGTGTCAGAACTTTCTTCGTTTCTTGGTTGATGGCTGATCACATTCACTTTTGTTTTTCCTTTTTTTTTTTTTTTTTTTGAGATGGTCTCACTCTGTCACCCAAGCTGGAGTATAGTGGCACGATCTCAGCTCACTGCAACCTCTGCCTCTTGGGTTCAAACTCTTCTCGTGCCTCAGCCTCCCGAGTAGCTGGGATTATAGGCACGTGCCACCATGCACAGCTAATTTTCGTATTAAGTAGAGACTGGGTTTCACTATGTGGGCTAGGCTTTCCTTGAGTTCCTGGCCTCAAGTGATCCACCTGCCTCTGCCTCCCAAAGTTCTAGGATTACAGACAAGCATGGTGGCTCACCATGCCTAGCCTACATTCACTTTTTTCCTTTTTTTTTGAAACAGTTTCGCTCTTGTTGCCCAGGCTAGAGTGCAATCGTGTGGTCTTGGCTCACTGCAGCCTCCGCCTCCCTGGTTCAAGTGATTCTCCTGCCTCAGTAGGAGTTTCACTTGAAGTTTCTTTCATGAATTTTAATAGATGCATAAACATCTAGGATTATGTCCTCTTGAATCAGTCCCTTTATCATTATTAAATGACCTTTATTACTGGTAACATTTGCAGTGAAGTCTACTTTGTGTGATATTAATACACTCCAGTTACCTTTTTTTTGAGACAGGGTCTCTCCAGTTGACCAGGTTGTAATGCAGTGGCACCATTACAGCTCACTGCAGCCTCAGCGTCCCCGGCTCAGGAGATTGTCCCACCTCAGCCTTTTGAGTAGCTGGGACTACAGGCATTCATTCCAATACCCGACACATTTTTTGTATTTTTAGAGAAATGGGATTTCTCCATGTTGCTCAGGCTGGTCTCTGGGGCTCAAGTGATCCGTGTGTGTCGGCCTCCCAAAATGCTGGGACTATGGGGATGGCAGGAGTGAGCCACTGTATCTGGCCTTCCAGCTATCCTTTGATTCGTGTTAACATGATATATATATATATATATATATATTTTTTTTTTTTCTTTCTTTTTTTTTTTTTTTAAGACGGGGTTTCACCATGTTGGTCAGGCTGGTCTTGAACTCCTGACCTCAGGTGATCTGCCCGCCTTGGCCTCCAAATGCTTGCATTACAGGCATGAACCACCACGCCCAGCCAATATGTTATATTTTTGACCATTCTTTTATTTTCTCTTACTTATGTCCTATATAAAATGAGTTTCTTTTGGGCAACACATAGTTGCAGCTTGCTTTTTTCCCTGTGTGACAAATTCTGCCTTTGATTTGTAGCATTGAGATCACTCCATATGCTTACTGATGAGGCAAGTTTAATTAAAATCTACCATGTTACCATTTGTTTTCTATTTGTATCATCTGTTTGTCTCCTTTTTTTTTCTTCTCTTGGATGTAGTATTTTTTATCCTTTTCGGTTTATGTTGGCTTATTTGCTGTAGCTCTTGTGTTATTTTAGTGGAATTCATCATTAACTTACCACAGACTACATTCGAGTGATAAAGCACTTTACCTGTAATATGAGAACCTTAAAACAGTGTGCTTCTGTTTCTCTGTCTCCAGCTCTGGTGCTATTACTGTCAAAATTTTACTTCTGTATATGTTATAAACTCCACAACATAGTATCTGTGTTTTTGCTTTAAATAATTGTAGGTGAAACAGCTTTTTCTTTCAGAACTTTCAAATGTCACCTGTCTTTTAGGCTGTATTGTTTCTAGTGAGAAGTCTGCTGTCATTTTGATCTTTGTTTTTCAATGCATAATGTCTTGTTTTACTCTGTGCTTTTAAGATTTTTATCATGGATTTTAAGCAATTCAATTCCAATGTGACTTGGAGTTGTATCCTTTATATTTCTGGTGCTTGGGGTTCATTGAGCTACTTGAATTTGTGGGTTTCTAGTTTTCACGTAATTGGGAAATTCTTCCCGTTGTTTCTTCAGATACTTTGTCCGTTCCCCCATGTGTTAGGGTGTGTGAAGTTGTCCCACAGCTTACTGAAGATTTGCACATTTTTTCCTGGTATTTCTTTCATTCTGTGTTTTAGGTCAAAACGTTTCTATTATTATGTCTTCAAGTCACTAGTCGTTCCTTCTACTTCTACAGACTAACCCATTAATGTTCTGCAGTGTATTTTTCATCTCAAGTGTTACAGATTTTAAAAAAAAATTTTTTTATGTTTTTGAGACGGAGTCTTGCTCTGTCACCCAGGATGGAGTGCAATGGTGCAGTCTTGGCTCACTGCAACCTCTGCCTCCCATGTTCAAGCAATCCTGCCTCAGCCTCCCGAGTAGCTGGGATTATAGGCACGCACCACCATGCTCGGCTAATTTTTGTATTTTTAGTAGAGACGGGATTTCCCCATTTTGGCCAGACCTCGTGACCCACCTACCTCAGCCTCCCAAATTGCTGGGATTACAAGTGTGAGCCAGCGCGCTAGGCCAGATGTTAACAGTTTTTATCTCTAGGTGGTAGGTTCTTAAAGGGCCAGGCATTAAATGTTTTCCGCTTTGCAAGCCATATAGTCTCTCCTGCAGCTACTCAGCTCTGCTGCTGTAGCTCAGAAGCAGCTGTGGATAATACATATTTGTGGCTGTGTTCTGGTAAAACTTGATTTTAAAAACAGATGGGGCCAGGCACAGTGGTACATGCCTGTAATCCTGGCATTTTGGGAGGCCGAAGCAGGAGAATCACTTGACACCAGGAGTTTGAGACCAGCCTGGACAACATGACAAAATGCTGTCTCTACTAAAAATATAAAAATTAGCCAGGCATGGTGGTGCATGCTTTTAATTCCAGCTACTCAGGAGGCTGAGGCACGAGGATCGCTTGAACCCAGAAGGTAAACATTGCAGTGAGCTGAGATCGTACCACTGGCACTCCAGCCTGAGCGACAGAGCGAGACTTTGACTCAAAAATAAATGAATACATACATACATTAAATAAACAAACAAACAGATGGGAAGAGATGGATCTGGCCCGTGGGCTGTGGTTTGCTGACCTAATGGCCTCTTACCCTTTGGTTCCACAGAGCTGCGGTGCAACCCTGGGCAGTTTGCCTGTCGCAGTGGCACTATCCAGTGCATCCCCCTCCCTTGGCAGTGTGACGGCTGGGCGACTTGCGAGGATGAGAGCGATGAAGCCAACTGTCCAGGTGAGTGTGTCGAGTAGGCTGGGTACACGCCACCTTGTCTCTTTGTTGTGGCTGAGTAACTGTGCCTCTTGTGAGGGATGGAGGTGTGTGCTGTCTCAACACATTGGAAAGTTAGTTTGAGCTGACCCCTTTCCTCTCTCTGTCTCTGAAATAGGTGCCCAACCTAGGCAGATGCCAGAACTTGCAAGATGGCAGGGCTATGGGTAGGCATGTGAGATGCCCAGGAGGCCACACTTAAGGAGGCGCTGCCATCCCTGGACTTGCATGATCTTGAGTGTGAACCCCTCCTGAGGGGTGGCACCCTGGCCACCTCTCTGACCTCATCCCCATCCTGGCTCTGGATGTGGGTGCCTCTTGATCCTGAGTGTGCTCTTTTAGGCTGGCTTTGGCACGCCCTCCCCTCCTGCTCACTCATTCACCAGAAACTTTGCCTTCGCGGGTTCTCTCCTGGTCATGTGTAGCCTCCTAAAGATGTATGGAGAGGCCACAAAAAGGCTAAATGGGAGAACCAGGTTCTTCACCTGGTTTCTGCCCCAGCACCCTCAAGGAATACAGTGCAGCCCACGAATAACAGTGTTCACTGTATCCGTCGTTCTCCTCAACTTGGGTTGAGTGGGAAGTGTAGTGAATATGTGTGCATTTGTGTGTGAATGTGTGAGACATACATATACATGTATTCACAAATTTGTTTAAGACTAGGTGGTGCTGATGAAGTCACTAAGGGGAAGGTGTGTCTTATTCCAGCTTGAGAATCACAGGCCTAAAGGCTTTGGCTAGGCATGCAGACTCCTTTACAAGCTGGTTTAGGACTGCTTTACCAACCTTCTTAATCTCTACTTCCCTTCAGTGGCTCAGCTGGGCTGCTTCCTGTGCCCACCCCCATTAATAATCTCCTAGATGCGTGCTTCGTTTATATTTTCCTGGAATTCCTTTGTTCTGTTTCTATGTAGACAAGCCCTGCCATCCTTCAGGGTGTAGCTCAGATGCTACCCTAGTAGGAGAATGTCTGGTCTCTCTTTTTATCGATTAGTTTCTTCCAGTCTCCCATCTGTCTCTCTTACAGCATCAGAACCATTGGTAAGTCTCACCATTCCTGGTGCCCAGGCTTGATTTTTCCATCCAGACCATGGGCTCCCAGAGGGCAGAGACCTGTCTCCTTCCTTAGTGGGACTTGGCCTAGGACATGAAAGGTGTGCCATAATTCCTATAGGCTTAGTACTGAAGGAAAACCAATTCATTCCAACCAGGGTATTAGGTAGGGCATTAGGTGACATTTGAACTTGGGGTAGTTGTTTGAGAGGGGTTCCAAAATAAGAAGCAGAGATGGAGACCAGCTTGGCCAACATGGTGAAACCCTGTTTCTAATAAAAACACAAAAATTAGCTAGGCATGGTGATGCACACCTGTAATCCCAGCTACTCAGGAGGGTGAGGCATGAGAATCGCTTGAACCCGTGAGGCTGAGGTTGCAGTGAGCCAAGATTGTGCCACTGCACTTTGTCCTGGGCTACAGAATGAGACTGTCTCAAAGGAAAAAAAAAGGCCAGGCGCAGTGGCTCATGCCTGTCATCCCAACACTTCGGGCAGCTGAGGCAGGCGGGATCTCTTGAGGTCAGGAGTTTCAGACCAGCCAGGACAACATCGTGAAACCCCATCTCTACTAAAAATACAAAAATTAGCTGGGCATGGTGGCGGGCACCTGTAATCCCAGCTACTTGGGAGGCTGAGGCAGGAGAATCACTTGAACCCAGGAGGTGGAGGTTATAGTGAACTAAGATCACACCACTGCACTACAGCCTGGGTGACAGAGAGATCCTGTCTCCAAAAAAAAAAAAAGAATGGGGTTTAGAGGGGACCCCTCCTGATTGTCCCTGGAGCTCATTCATCAGATTATTCATGTCTCTGGTGGAGGTGTTTGCCTTCCCAAATGGTGGTTTTGATGGTGTTGGCCCCGTCAGGAGTCTTTGGGACAACCCTTTGTTTGGGAGCCTCTCTGGTGGATCCTTGGGTCAAAGCCCAGGGAAAGTGGATTCCCAGTGGGCTTCCCAGTGCTTGGGCTGCTGAAGTTCCCTGGATGGTCAGCCTGGGGACAACCGTGTGATCATGAGTGAGAGCCTCCCCTTGTCTGACTCATACATAGAGTGGGACCTTATATCCAGCCTCTTGGAGAATTCCTGAAGAGAGAACCAGATGATTCTTGGTTCGCTTTCAAATGAAAGCAGAGCTTATTTGCTGTTCTCAAAGTGCCATTTGGCTTTGCTTTTGTGGTTTTTGTAATAACTGTCCTGTTACACATGCTAAACACTGTAGTATCCACACTCATAGTTGCCATCTTGTTCATCTGTTCATGCTCTAGAGACTTGGTGAAGGCAAAGGGTAGGTTTGATCTCCCATTTGGACCACCTGGCCTGACATGGAGGAGACATCAACTTTGCACTTAAGTATTGGCTTGAAGCTGCATAGGTTGCTGTATGTTTTCCCTAGTTAGAAAAAATTTCACAGAAGCCAAGAGTTAGGAGTGGTGGCCTGCACCAGGACCAAGCAGTGAAGGCATGACAATGAGGACCCATGTGTGCAAACCCATTGAGGGTTGGGCCCTAGAAGCATTCCAGGTGGGCTGAGGAGGCCACTGCCCTGGCAGGGCTTACCCTTCTTCTCCTTGACTCATAGTCCTATGATTGTCCTTGTATAATGCTGTGTCACAGTCTGGAGGGTGAGCAGATTGATTTTTAATTGTTCTTAAAGTTGGAATTCTGGGCAAACTTAAGTTATAAAAATGTACAAAGACTGTAATACATATTTTCTTACTTCCCTGAATTAATAAGTGCTAAAATCTTGTGCTTTTGTTTTAGTTTATTTTAAAAGAATTTTTTTTAAATCATGGATATAGAGTCAAGTCCTCATTGACACTCTCCCTTCCTTCAGCCCTCCCCCACCAAAAAGGAAACTCTTTGTGTTTGTAGGGGGAGTGGTGAGTTAGCTAATAACCACCTTTGCTTGAAAGCTGTGACCTTCCTTTGTATGGGGAGAATTTCAGTAACCCTTTGGGAAGTTCTGTCCATTCTCAGTCAGGTTACTTTTGAAGGTAGACTTCAGGACTTCTGGAACTACCACATGAAGTTACTTCATTGCCCTGCTAAAATAAAAGCCTGCTAAAAGCGAGTACAAAATGTGTAAGAATAAAGGGACAAAAAAAAGGGGAAAGATGTAACAGTAGATCAGTAATTTCTGCATGTTTTTGAAAGAGGGAAATGGGTGGCCTGCGAGGTACAGCCTGGGCGTTCAGTACCTTCCCAGTCCCTTCTGGGCTTGTCCCTAGGTTTCAGAGGCTGGAATGCTAGAGCAGTAGCACTCAAACCCCGCTGCCAGCAGACTTCAGTGTGTCGTTTGTCCTATGACATGTGTCTTGGGAAATGTGGTGAGTGGAAGGGAAGTGGAACCTTTCTCCCTTGGGCCATGGTGTATGGGGCGGGCGTGCATGGGCTTAGAACAAGATGAGTTTTTGCAGTGGCTTCTGCCTTACCCCACTGGCCAGCTGTCTCAGGGCTGCAGAGCAGCTGAGATATTGGCAGCAGATTTTTGCAGTTTTTTAACCTATGGATGGCGGTAGTACCTTCCTGACTCTTGATAGTGACTGTAGGGATTAGATGGAAGACTAGAAGTAGCCCACTTTACTTTCGCTCACACTACAGCCTTGCCGGTTGTTTTGAAGGCACCTATTTTCTGTATGAAACCCTTTGTGTTTGAAATGTCTTAGCATGGTTTTTGTTTCCCCAGTGGAACCATCTTTGATATAAATGCGAATTAACAAAAGATGTGTAAAATTTTTGAGGGAGAAAAATTTGCAACTTTATTAAGAGACATTAAAGAAGACAAATAAATAGAGGCAACATGTTCTTGCCTAGGAAGACTGAACATTATTAAAACTTCTCATATTGTTCTGTGGATTCACTGCCTCTTTAAAGCTTCTAGAGTTTTGTGTGAAAGGCGGTAAGTCGATTTTAAAATGTTGAGGAGACTTTAGTCCTAGTATCGTGAGTTCATTGTGAAGAAGAATAAGGAGGGAGCTCCTGCCTTACCTGTTTCAAGACTTAGCTTGAAATTGGCTCAGGGAAACCCAAGTTGGCCTGTGAGACCAGCTGCCAGAAACAGACCCGAGAAGCTTGAATTCCAGAGGTGGAATCACGTATCACTGCACAAAGGACAGAGTCTTCAAACACAGTGTTGTGACAGTCAGAAAAGGATGCAGTTGGATCCCTAACTCACAACATACAGGAACTTCAGTTTTGGGTAAATTACAATATAGGAGACTATCTTTAAGACCTTGATGGGGAAGTGTGCCAGATTCTTTTTTTTTTTTTTTTTTTGAGACAAGGTCTGGCTCTGTCGCTCAGGCTAGAGTGCAGTGACGTGTTCTTGGCTCACTGCAACCTCTGCTTCCTGGGCTCCAGCCATCCTCCCCTCCTTAGTCTCCCGAGTAGCTAGGACTAGAAGCATATACCACCATGCCCAGCTAATTTGTGTGTGTGTATGTGTGTGTTTTTTTTTGTAGAGTTGGGGTTTCACCATGTTGCCCAGGCTGGTCTCTAACTCATGAGCTCTAGCAGTCTGCCTGCTTCGGCCTCCCAAAGGGTTGGGATTATAAAGGTATGAGCCGTTGCACCCAGTCACCTTTTTCCTTTTCTTTTTTTTTTTGGGAGGGAGATGGAGTTTCACTCTGTTGCCCAGGCTGGAGTGCAGTGTCCTGGTATCACTGCAGTCTCCACCTCCTGGGTTTAAGTGATTCTCCTGCCTCAGCCTACCAGGTAGCTGGGATTACAGGCGCGTGCCAAGACGCCTGGCTAATTTTTGTATTTTTAGTAGAGATGGGGTTTCATCCTGTTGTCCAGGCTGGTCTTGAACTCCTGACCTCAGATGATCTGCCTGCCTCAGCCTCCCAGAATATTCGGATTACAGGTGTGAGTCACTAGACCCAGCCTCCAGTCACCTTTTTCTTATTCA